CTATCCGGCCCCCTCCCTCCTCTATTCATGTCCTCACAGCCCCAGGGACCCAGACCTCCCCAGCCCTCACCCTCCTCTAATTATTTTGCAGAAGCCCAGGAACCTGGCCTCCCCAGCCCCCACCCTCCCAAATCCTTTTTCTACAGCCCTGGGGACCTGGACCTATCCAACCCCCACCCTCTCCTATTCATGTCCGCAACAGCATCAGGGAGCCAGACTTTATCAGCCCTTACCCTCCGATATTCATGTCCCCAGAGCCTTATGGGCCATGACCTCCCCAGTCCACACCATCCTCTATTCATGTCCTTAAACTCCGGAGGACCAGGACCTCCCCAGCCCCCGACTATCCTCTATTCATGTTCCTCAGCCGCCACCCACCTCTATTCATGTTCCTCAGCCGCCACCCACCTCTATTCATGTTCCTCAGCCGCCACCCACCTCTATTCATGTTCCTCAGCCGCCACCCTCCTCTATTGATCTTCCCCAGCCTAGGGGACCTGGACCTCCCCAGCCCTCAACTTTTCTTATTGTGAGAGAAATGTAAAAAGTTCTAAACGTTGTATTTTCCTCTTTCGTATTCTGTCTCTATATAGATCTCAGACATTTTGTATGCTTTGCACCCTAATCTTCACTCTTCTTCCACACATGACCTCCCCCTCCGCTCTCTATCACATACACACATTCCTACATTCACTTGTATCAGATAAGGACTCATGTACATGGCAATAAACTAGAACAGCTTGTAACAAAGCCCTGTGTGTCTGTGCGAGCCTGCTCCCCACCCTGCAGTGATAATATGCAGTCCTAACTGGGAGTCTCTAGTCAGCCCTCACAAACCCATTATGGTGAGGAGATCCAATTCCATGGCAGCACATTGGTGAGCCACTCAGGAGGGAACAACAAGATTCTGAGGTCCCAGAGGAACCCCTGACACTCTTCCCGTTCCGTTGTTGCTTACATTCTGAGTGTTCAGTTCCTACATGTGGCAGGTATTTCGGGACAGGGGAACCTAGCTTCCCCTTGAATCTAAGACTTGATTGGTGGCTTTGGTTGTCCATGTTGTTGGTTCTTGGTGTTAGGAAGTTCGAGGAAGCACAAGGTCCACAAATGCTACACAGAGTTGTAGGGCTATCAAGGCCAAAGGGACACGGGGACAAGATCTCCCTGGAGGACCAAGTAGATTACCGGCAGCAGAGTGTATGGCCGAGCGCCATGAGTCCCGGAATACTCACCCTCCTGAGAGGTGGACAATCGGGTGTCACTGTTGAACGATGTGATGAAATGGTGGTGAGAAGGGTTCTTGTGTTCTCCGACCACCTCGGACGTCCCATAGGGGTGTAGATTTGACCAGCCGGTCAGTGTTATGGGGTAACTGGGTTACCACCAGAAATGTGGATAACATTCCACTGATAGGAGAAGCAGGTTGACTGTTGAAGAACATATGAGCAGCAGACATGGTGGATGGGTTAGATCAGTGGTTCTCAAGCTGTGTAACCTCAGGACCCACATTTGTCCTCGCTCAGTAAGTCGCGACCCGAGTCACACTGCAATGGCTCGAACGGCAGTGTGGGCTGCTGTGCTGTGAAGGAGCTCCATCCATATGTGCATTGCTTGTGTAGCTCACATGTGCGCCTGTAGAGGTGCCGGGAGCCCCAGAATGTGATGTCACTCCAGACCAGGCACCTCTACAGAACATGCGAGGGAGCTTTAAGCAATGCACGTGTAGAGGGAGCTCCTTCGCGGCC